TTATTATATTTCTCACATACCAGTATACAATAGTAATAAAGACAAATTACATTAAAGCATATACTTTAAGAAACAAATTTACAACTTATGTATCGTATTCTCGCCGTTATCGTATTCTTTTTCTCGGGGTTGTAGACGACCGTTATCGTATTACCGGACGCTTTCTCTTATATACCTCCCCCTTTCCGTTCTTTCCGTCGACGATTGCATTCCACCGTAAGCGGATTTCTCTTTTCGTACGGTCGTTCGTTCCGTTCTTTCGTCTTTATTCTTACGGTATTCCAATCTATTTCGCATCCCTCGGTATTATAGCGTTCCGCTACCGCCGAATTGGCGTAATTATTTTTAATCGTTCCGATCCGTCGTTTTAAACGTATTTTCGGTTTATTTTTTGTTTCTCTTAAATTCGTTTTATGTCGTCGGCGTTGGCCATTAAACCAATATACACCCTTTTCTTCCGTAATCGTATATAGGAGAAACGTTTAATACGAATATTTGAAAAGTTATCGACCGGCAGGCTTTTAAAATTTGGGGACGTAGAAGACGAGGCGATGGCGTCGTATAGAGAGGAGGTAAAAATTGGCCGGCCGAGCTAATAGAACGTTTTTCCCGGACTAAATGGCCATCTTAAATCGACCATTTAGTCCGGGCTAGAAATAGTCGAACCGGGCCGACGCCCGCCGAGCGGAGTGGCGGTATTTCGAATTTCGTCGGTAGTTTTAATGTAATTTTTTTAAAGACAAAATTGCAAATTCCGCTTTATTCTCGGTACTTTTAAGTTTATTCTTATAAACGCGAAAATAAAACAATAAAACCCGTCCGTTTTGAGTAACCGAATAACGCGCTACCTAATAATGCTTATTTAAAAAGCGGTAGTTATTTTTGAATTTATTTCGTTCGAAATTAGCGCTTTAACCGTAGTTTGAGGGAAAACTTTTTAATTCGAATAGGGTTACTTCCGATTGTCCCGGGCAGTTCTTACATACTTAATGGGGCCCGGTCTCGTCTTTCGTCCGTCTAACTCCGTTCTCGACATTAAGAAAAGACCGACGGTCGACGGCGTTACCATTTTTTCGAATCGCCTACGGAACCGAGTTATTCGGACCAAACAAAAGTCGTTATTTAGCCTAATGGCGTCTTTGCCGGCGCTAACGTCGATAGCGTAAAAAGCTGTTCCGCGGACGATATTGTATGGCGAAAGCGTCCTTAATGGCGGTAGAAGGAGGGAAAAACGTCCTCCAAATTACTCGACCACCCAGCGTTTCAAACGTTAATCGAATTTATTTTTCCAGCCATACGTAAATCTTCTTATGGCCAAACTCCGCACCGCGGAAATATTTCTTTCGTACGCTTGTAGGAGAATTAGTAGCCGGGTGGAGGCCCGAGTTTTAAAGGCGAAAACGCGTAGGTCGGACGTTCGGCGCCGCTTTCCCGTAAGTCTACAAGTTCGACCGTGGCCTTTGGAATGGCGCTCGACGTTCCGAACGTCCGACCTACATCTTTTCGCCTCCACCCGGCTATTATCGCAAAATCGCGCCGACGGATCGAATAACGTTAATAAAAATGTCTTTTTTATTAACGAAACTGGCCCGGAATAATGATAATTTTCTTTATATCTAACCTCTTCCCAAATAAATTATAAATAAATGTTAGTAACCATCCCTCGCCTACGCCAGTGTTCGAAAATAAATATAATACGCACCGAGAATAAAGTAAAAGTTATAGTTTTCTATTAAAAAATGACGTCAAAATAAACCAGATTCGAAACGTTAACCTTATCCCGACTACGAAACCGGGGCGCCCGCACCCGGTCTTTCCGGCTGGGAAAGGAAAGGGAGCGCGCGACAATTATATTTAATTACGGAAATGTACACAAATGTTAAACTAACTCGTAAGTATCGGGACGGGTAAAAGCGCTACAAAAAGGGAATTTAGGATTTAGGCAGTTTATCGTAGTTTAAGTTTAAGCCCGTATCTTTCCGGCGTTAATATTTTGCCAATTATCGTAAGATGCCGCCAGAAAGGAACTACGGTATACGTATCGATAGCGCCTTTAGTAACGAGATAGAGAGTAATTAAAGTCGAGTGGAGAGAAGTTAGCGACGGATTAAGGCTGCTATACAGCATGGGTTAATCCTTTGAGGCTGCCTGTCCTCCAGGAACTTCCGAATTTCCTATCGCCCAAAAACCAAGAAAACCTCTCGGCAGAGGGTGGGGCAGCTTGCCCCGGGCGCCACTGGCAGAGGGGAGCCTAATGGTTTCCAAGAATAACAAAATTTGTTTCTGAAGGGAGAGGGGTCGCCAATATAGTGTCGCGGCCCGGGTGCAGTTACGTTCGCTACGCCATTGTGTTTATTATTACGCCACCGATGTTTATCGGCAACAAATTCTATTAAAACTCGCGGGAAAAAAGTATGCGTAGAAGTCTATGGTGTAAATAGTGTAAATAGTAGTAGTAATGGTTTGGGTAGCACCGATCACAAAATTAATTTTTCATACGAATAATTTTTTAATGGAATTATTTCAAGAGAAATCTTGGGCTATAGATTATGTTAAAAAGCATCAATTATCAGCGAAAGACAATGGCGAGTCGATTTTACTACCAAATAAATTAATGGATTAAATTTTATAGACGAATATATATTAATAATTGTCAACCACATTTGATATTAGTACAAATTGTAAACATTATTATCGCAAATTAATTTTATAATTTAATAATTAAAAAGAATTTATTAAACTTTGTCTTAAGTTGTCGTGTTTTAATTTACTTGGATATTAAAACAATAAATTTTTGAAAACGTAGAAGAAACTGATAAAGAGTATCGAGATGTTTTATGAAAACGGAAGAAACGAATTGAGAAGTTTTCTAAATATTAAAATTATTTATAATTTTTGATCCGAAAATAATTTAAAACCTGAAAAATTAATTTATTAGGTTATAAATAATAAAAGTTAATAAGGTTATAGAAAATAATTCTTCCAAACATTCACCAGACATTGTTCTCACACACGTTTAGGCGCCAGGAAAATCAAATGGTTTTTCAATTCTACTCGGGTGGTCGGTACGGGTCGCCGAAGCTGTTAAATTGTACCCCATAAACTACCGAGAATTATAAAGGTCAGGCGTGCACGATTACTCCTTTGAGAATTAACCTAAAGAATATGGCCGATTCTACTCGGGTGTTGGTTCCGTTTTGCGGAACTTTTTTATTTTCCCCCCCCCACACATCCAGGAATGACTCAAAATCAGGCATGCGTGGTTACTCTTAGAGAGGAGGGAATAAAAGTCGGTAGATTCGGATACTGGACGTCGGAGGACGGGGAATTAAACCGAGGGGGTCGGCAGAAATGGAAATTCGGCTACTTAGGATCCTATTTACGGACGTTACGTATAACGAGTTAGAGGTTGGAAAATAGGATAAACGGAGGACGGTACGAAGTCGAGTGGTATTATTAGATATCGACGGCCATAGCGTTAACGCGGAGTCCGAAAGACGCGTTACTCGGTATTTTAGTCTATACTATAATATTATAAAGAGGTAATGTTTGTATGTAAGTTTCGTTGCAGCGGGTAATCTCCGAAACTACTCATCCGATTTCAAAAATTCCTTCATCAATATTTAGAATGGACCTTCGGGGTGGACGTAGGCTGTATATTATTCCGTTAAACATTCGTATAAATTAAATGATATCATCTACGGTTAAGGCTTTTTTGTCCAACAGATGGCGCTACGAGTACGACGCCCTAAGTTTGGTTTTCTGCCAGGCATTACGCTTTTCTGTGAAAATGAACTAAAACAGATCTATCTATTTATCTATATCAGTGTTTTTCAACCTGTGGGTCGCGACCCCTTGGGGGTCGCGAAGCCTTACACGGGGGTCGCGGGTAAAAGAAAAAGACAAGTGTTTGTAGGACTACACTACATTAAAAAACTACAATTTTAGCGCCAAGGCTGTACGTGTTTATTTTACAGTACAATTGGTTTTTTGATCGATTCTTAGGTCTCAACCATGGGTGTAGCCAGGGAGGGGCCTGGGTGGATACGGCCCACTCCAGAAAATCCTAGCCGCAAAAGTGTTGAGCTGATTTGCAAAAAGTAATAAAAAATAGAAAAGTAGAATCTGAAAATTTTGATCCTAAAAAAAGGTCAACAGGTCCCTGTGCCCGATGTTATAATTAAAGGAAGTTTCATACCTTACGTGTGTTAAGTTATTGTCGATTCTCCTGAAACTTTCGTTTTAATCAACAATAATCTGTCTCAACAGAAAGAAAAATAAATAAATAGTTTTTAAAATCACTGATACAGTTTTAATATGGCCCTAGGGGGTGGCCAAAATTTTTTAAGTTGTAAAGGGGTCGCGTATACAAGAAGGTTGAAAAACACTGATCTATATAAATAAAAATGTAACGTTCGTTTGTTCCTACCGATTCCTTTGAAATTTTGACACAACGCCGCATCCGAGTACGCACGTGTTTTTATATAATATACGTGTCGAAATTCGACCCCACCGAAGGGAGATGGTTAGGTTTAAGGCTTATGGTAAAGAACTCCGCTTCTATTTATGCTATTTTAGATGCGGGTTTTTGCGTTTTTGATGGCGTTTTAATAGGGTACGTCGAGAGAATGTACATACACTAAGAAGAAACTTTTCGAAAAATTTTCCCCCCACGGGGAAGCGTTATACGTTTATAATAGATACATTTTGAGCCAGAACAAGGCGTGGCGGGGTCTGCTAGTCATATATATACGTATACGCGTGGGTGGCGCATTGGCGATTTAATTCCGGGGGAGTCGAGACGAACGGATAAAAAGAATTTTAACCAGAATTGCGTAAAATTCCCACCTTACGTCGTCGCTCGCTCGTAAATAGTATAGAAGACGACGACGCCATATAATTTAAAAAATGAATTTTAATTAAGAAAAGATTTTTGGAAAATTTTCTGGCGTTTGTTTTCCTTTTTCTTCGGAGGGTGCCCGAATATAGGCATCGCCGGCCCCACCCGGAATCTTTATATCGACCAAAACGCTAACTTCCGATCCCGACTTTAAGCTCGGTACCGTTTTCCGGGACGCCACGAAATTAACCGCGGACGATTACGCCGATACTGACGAAAAGCCATCTAAAGTCGGGAATGTCGTTAAATAAGACGAATCGTAACCGGGGATTGGCCGTTTACCGCAAAATATCACCCGACCGATTCGTCCTACGGGCGGAGCCGGCCCTACCGTAGGGCCAACGGATTAGGGTTCGAACGTAATTAGGGTTTTCGATTACCGGAGGAACGGACGACGCAAGGCGACCGAACGAAATTTGTAATTACGTCCGGTAGTGCCGTTCTTCGGCGCGGTCCGCGAATAACCGGAAAAGGCGATGGGAGACGATTTTTCGCTGACCAAATATAAGGAAATCGGCCGACTGGGTTAATGATATTTTGCCAAATCTGCGCGCTTTTCATAAAACATAAAATAATGTTCGATCGACGTTAAACAGAAGGGGACGGAGAAATAATAGGAGACATTATCGGGAAAAATTAAAGGCGGGGCTACGACGGCCCGGCCACTACTTTTAAACTTCCGCTTTTTCGCGCCCGACAATTTTAATTTATTTTTTAAAACCGGACACTCGAATACGAATAAATACCGTTTACCCGGAGACCCGAAATTCGGCGGATTTCTTTCCGTCTCCGGAGATTCCCTCCGCAGACCCTTTTTCTTTCGGTCCCAGCGCCTTTTTCCCGATTTCTTACCGTGTCCGGCCTCCGCCGCGCGAAAAACAAAAAAGACGAAAATTTCGGGGCGGGGTCGAAAGGCGATCTCCGCCGACGGAATTCGCAGACAATTAATGGTTTAACAACATTTTATTTTCCATAACGGCCGGGCCCGGCCTACAAAAGAGGACGGCCGAAGACGAAAAGATTGTAAGACCGCCGCCTCCGGCCGTCCACCCGATTCTTCCAAACATTATTTTTAAGTATTCTTCCGCCTCTCCCCCGCGTCCGGTCGGACAAATAACACCCGCGACGACCGACGATCCGCGCTCCACCCCCGACCCACCGGGTTTCTACTCCCCTCCGACCTCCCGCCGCCTTTCTCCAACCCTTTCGCCTGAGGTTTTTGTAAAAAACCCGCGCTTTCCTTCCGGGCCGAGGGCCGCGGTCGACCGTACCGAAACTAGGAATTTCCTATTTAAAGGGCGAGTTTCCCACCTTTGGGCCGGCGCGGTCTACGGTACCGGTATCTACCGTTTAATCGTAGGTGGATCGGAGCGCCTACGATTAAACGGAACCCGTTACCTTCCGAGGTAGCCGGAACTAAGAAGGGGGTAGCGGGCCCGATTAAGTAGAAACGGCCGGCCGCGTTCGAAACCTAAATTTTTCCACGGGGTCGACCGTTCCGGATCGAGGGCTCGGTCGCCCGGGTGGCGAGTTCTACAAAAAGGGAAGGGAGGCGGGAGGACGTAGACGACGAAGGTCCGGGGTCCGATAATTAAATCTTTAAATGCGTAAAACTTAACAAATGTAAACGCAGTAACCGTCCGGCCGGTGTTTCTTCGACTAGATTTTTCCGGCCCGACGACGTAATCCTTTCCCACCCGGACCGGGCGTAATTTAAGGGTGGGGATTCTTCCCCGCCTAAAAAATCTGCCCGACGGAAAACGGCGCTTCGGAGCGGGGAAAGTACGTATCCCTTCTCGGTGGCCCCCACCGCCGGTAGTCCTTCGGGTGGACGGAGGGGAGGAAAGTCCGGTTCGTCGACGGTTTTCGTTTATTGTCCGGAGGGGGCCCGCCTAATTCTTAACCGAAACTCCGGTTATTATTAGCGCTTGTCGCCCTTCCCGTCGATTAATACCGCGGTATTTGCGCCCGCCCGCACGATTTATCGACCGATTATATACACTTAAATTACGTCGCGCACCTTAACGCAAATACGGTAATACCGAGAGCTGGCCATTGGCTACGCCTATAAGTCCGAACGACGTACAGTACGTACTGTACTTTTAAAACGTCGAGCGCATTTTCTCGCTTTTTTTCCTCCGCCCGGAACCGCGGGCCGCGTCGGTCTTTGGCGCTTTAAAGCGCAGAAGCGCCGCGGGTTACGAAAAAATAAATACGAAAGCGTACCGTCCCGCCGGCAAATGGCTTATAGCGCGCCGTAGCCGTACTTTCACTGGCATTTTAACTTAAAAAAACTTCCGGTCCGGGACGTAGAGTCGACGGGAACCTCCGGCGCCGCCCGGAAAGGTACCGTACGAGGGAGCAGAAAATATTTAACGCGTAACGGCGAGAAGCGCGTAAACGGGGTTGGAACGTGCGGATTTAAGCCCGGGTGCCGAGCGCCGGAAAGCGGAGATAAGTTTTAATTTCAAAAATACGTCGGGCGAGTACCAAGAAACGTTTCGGTAGGCTTTAGCCACCGACGAAACGATCGGAATACGTAGGTCTTACGGCGGAAAAACTTAAAATTCCCAGGGAAAGGAAGGCTACAGAAAGCTTATTCTTCCCATTCCTCGGTAAGTTTCCGAGACGGGCCCGGGCTTCCGCCTATTGCCTTTTATTCGCCGCCACCGTAAATCAACGGCCGAACGAGTCGGGGGAAATCGGCAATTTTTCGTTCTCTTTTCGAACCGCGAAAACCATCGACTCCCGGGTGGCGCGGGAAACGGACGGAACCGGGGCCACGTCCGTTCCTCCGTTACCCGCCTTCCCGAACGCTCCTTTCTCTTCCCCCCTCGCGCCTTTAAGTCCACCCCTACATTTAATGCCCGGTCCGGATGGATTTTCGTCGGAATTTTTTCCAATCCTGTCGGGCCAGGAGGCGCGGTCCTCCCTCCCGTCGTTCAAATCTTTTAAATTCGTCCGGGGACGGGCGAAAAGAGACGTTCCCTGGGCGGGTTACGAAAATAGAATAAAAAAGAAAATAACTAGAAAAACGAAAACAATTAAAAATATATATAATATAATAAATATATAAAATTAAAAAAAGTTTGATGTTCTTTGGTGACTGGAAATGATTGAGGCCGGGGGAGGGGCCCTATCTCAACTCGCCGATGAGAGAACTGAGATCGGAATTGAGGCGGTACTCGCCGATGTCCGTCAGCTCCGAGTCGGTCACGGTCTTGCGGTGGAATATCGTTTGTTCGCCGTTGCATCTGGAGGAGGCGGCCGGAGGAGGAGGAACGCGCTCGGTGGGTAGAAAAAATATAACGGACAGAGCGATGACCACGTGCCAGACGCTGTGCACGTACTTGTAATTGTCCTCCGTCTCCACGAATGCGAAGAGAATCAGTCCCACGGCGGCCAGCACGGTGCCCGGAAGCAGACTCAGCAGCCACTTGATCTTCACCGGAAAACACGCCTTCGAGTAGTAACACTTGCGGCCCTGAAAACCACGCGGCAACGTTATAAAGGCGAATTACGATAAGGAGAAAATGACAGTTTACCGTACTAACCCAGGAGAACAGCATGATTACGATTCCGGTCATGACCGGTACGACGAAGACCCAGATTCCGGTTCTCTGATACTCCACTCCCAGAGCGATTCCTAAGGCACCGATCATGTGCGCTATCGAACTGAACGTCTGAGGGAGATCGGCCATGGCGATCAGCGTCACCCAGAACGACAAGATGGCCGAGTAAAAGTCGCAGTACTGCAACACTTCGTACTTCATCAGGCAGAAACTGAAAATGTCCACGTCGCAGGCGTGATAAAACTGAAATGCGTAAAATTACAGTATTTTCACATCCAATACGTCTCTACGCTCTTTTTAACTCTATTATTAAAACCGTAAACCATCTCCAGATTAAGGAAAGACGAACGGACGGACGACGGTAGGAATTCGTAGTTGTACAATATTTTCAAACTGCGGCCCAATAATTAAATTAAAATTTATCGACGTAATTATTTGTCTCCCCCAAAAATCTTACGCGGCCGCCGCCTACGTCGTATTAATCGAAACATATACCCACGGCCACCGGCGGTACGGAAGATCCTATCGAATTTCGGAGGCTCAGATTTCGATAGAAAAGCGCCTCTTTTGGTTTTCGCTATTATTGCCCGCGCGGACACGCATTTATCTCAATTACTAACGGACCGATAGGAAATTTGAAATTTAAATTTTCCTGTATTTGTCGAATGACCCGGATTCTTTATTATACAGGTAACCCCCGTATAACACGGCACTTCTATAGCACGGATTCGCTCTAACACGGTTCGAGAATTGGTACCATCCCCCGTATAACACGGCACTTCTATAGCACGGATTCGCTCTAACACGGTTCGAGAATTGGTACCATCCCCCGTATAACACGGTACTTTTATAGCACGGATTCGCTCTAACACGGTTCGAGAATTGGTACCATCCCCCGTATAACACGGTACTTTTATAGCACGGATTTACTCTGACACGGTTCGAGAATTGGGTAAAACCCTCGTACATCATGAAATGTAATAAATTTTTACATACTTAAGTAATAATAGTTGACGAAAATTATTATTTTCGCGAACTATTAGTACTCAAGTATGTAAATTTTCTCTTCTCCCCTTCTGTCGATACAGGTGGTCCTTCTGGAAACTTGTTGCAATGTTGCCAGATCGCGACGCTTCTGCTTCTGATGTTGCGAATGTTTTTCCCTTATTCCATACTTGGTTTATTCTTCTTAAGTGCTTAGCACCATATAAGGAAATTTATAAAGACCTTTTAACTAGAAGCGAGCGATCTAAAATTACATACTTTTTGCAAAAGGTAAAGCGTGGATCTGAAGATAATGCAGAAAAATGCTCGGAGGATAAGGATAACTTGCCAAAAAGAAAACGCTCTCGGTTAATTAACCTACAGCCACTGTATACGTTAGGGGGCGTAAGAATGTTAGAAAGGCATAGCGCAAAAAAGGTTGGGAAACACCGAGTTAGAGGATATAGTAACGCTTCTCGTAGCTTTTTACACCTCGAGATGTAATAAACGACTCGGTTTAATTCGATTTTTCCCGACGATATCGCCCACGAATTAACGTATATATTTAGTTAGATAAATATACGTAATTTTTGATTATATTTAGTAAATAGATTAGAATTTAAAAACTTACGGTGGAAAAGAACATGGTGACGGTGTAGACCACCGCTTCGGTATAATATCTTCGTTTGATGGCCAGAATTACGGCGGGCACGAAAAACAGATTACTCAGTGTCAAAAGCAGCGTCTTGAGTAAGAGAAGAGAAGGCATGGAAGCGTTTCTGTCGTCGGTACAGCCCCATCCTCGCCATCCTGTTTAAAGCGCGACGGGAAAAAACACGTTTAATATAAGTTCTTTTCGTTTTTATTCCTATTAATAAAAATAAATAAATGAATCTCTAATCCAAGTATTTAACAATTCTTATCCATTACTACTAACGATAAAATGAAAATTTGATAAATACAGTATATCGTCCATCAAAAATTTCCGCACTCAATTAAAATATTATCCTAAGTTAATTAAACCGCGTAATTTTGTCTAGACCAATCTCGGGAAGAATTAATTCAAACTTTCAGGCGGTGGTCTCGTATATCTGTAAACCAAATTACAATATTTAACCCTAGAAATTCGGACTATTTTCATTAATATCTGTTAAAATCTTCCAATAGACTCCGGGATAATAGAGATTTTAAGTCCCGGGATGCGGAATGACGAGTTTCTTTATATTATTACCAGCGGCGTTGCTCGGGCAAAAAGTAACCATAGCGAAGATTAAGATTATTAAATTATATCCCGTCTTACCCGTTTTTACCGATGCAAGAATTAGGTTGGCTCTCTTCCGAGACTAATTAGACAATTTTCACGCGGGTCTAAAAATATGTTCGATTTTCCTCAAAAAACCGCATCTAAAATAGTACAGCGGAACCAATTCTTCGGGTTAAGCCTTAATTCTCTCCCTCTCCCGTGGGGAGGATTTTCGACGTTCTCGTGAAGCACCCTAAGTGTGTACCGAATTTCAACTTTCGACTCATAACCGTTTGGGCTCTGCGCTTATTATTATTATCCTTATCAACCCATCTCGACTATATATATATATATATAGATTAGCATCGTGTTCAACTTATGTTAAAAAAATTAAATTTACTTACAAAAAAAAGGTTAAAAATACTTGAACTATTTGAATTGTATTATTGACCTATTTATTAAAGGAAAAAGTTTGTCCCGTCAATTTGAATAGTTATAATATAAAATATATTTCGTTATATAATTATATAGGCTAAATGCCGTTATATTGTGTACGAGAATTTGTTTTGGTACAATTTTCAAAAGTAAACGTAATCGTAAATTTCTCCAATTGTATAATTTGGTTTGATAGAGGTCGGACTAGTTATCCCGACCCTCCGTTAACCAAAGTTTATAACGAAACGTCGGAAAGAGTACGCTCGTGCCGCGCGGCCTCGGGCCTAGACAACGAAGGCATTGGCCCGCTGCTCTACAGGACCCGGGTTCGAATCCGAGTAAGCGACACGCTAGGAATCGCTTAGCCCTTATTTGCCGTCGAGGATTAACGTACGCGAAAATCAACGGTTGGCTTCTAAATAGTTTTCTGATAGATTTCATACGGGGCGAGTCGGGAGAACGGGGAAATAAGTTGGAAGATAACAATATGGGTCGCAACACTTTGTATGAACGTGGATATTATTCTCAGTAGTTTGGGAAATACAGCCGTTTGAAAATTATTCCCGCGCGACAATAATAACGAATGCCGCGCGTATAACTTTCGCAATAAATGCTCGGGAATTGAACTCCGACCTTCGATACGCTTTACGATCGAGTCGATTGAACTTTACATCACTTTGGCATACGTCCGCGTCGCTATCGGCACGTTCGATATCCACGGGCGTAGCCAGGAAGGGGCGTGGGTGGGCACGCTCCCAGTTAACCCGGTGCCCCTCCTCAGAAAATTACAGCCGAAAAAGTGGCGAGCCGATTTGCAAAAAGAAATAAAAAGCTTAAGCTAATTTAATTTGGTGTAGTGTACCCACTGAAAGTCTAGACCAGGCATAGCCAACATACGGCCCGCGGTTAATCTTTGAATATTGGACTTAACTTCAAATAATTGCTCGAATGGATCCGCGATAATTCCTTATAGCCTCACAATGCCAAGTGATAGGAAAGTTGAGAAATTCTGACACCCTAAAAAAAAGTCAACGACTCTCTGTACCCAATGTGAAAAGTGTATCCGTAATATCTATGTACAGTTTAGCCTCTACGGGGTGACGACGCAATAAGATCTCGCATCACCCGAAAATCTCGCTAGGGCCGCCTCTGGTTCGGCCCTAGCGAAAAAAGTTCTTTTTCCAATTCGGCCCCGGGGAAAAAACTGTTGGCCACTCCTGGTCTAGATCTAGATTAAAGACGGTGAATTAAAGAATGGTAAAAAAAAAAAATAATTGATTGGTTAATTTTTGTTTAAGGCATTGCTAGAATTTGATATTAATGTTACGAGAACGTACGATTAAAGAAAGTTTCATATTTTGTGTGTGTTAAGTTACCGTCGATTGCTATGGAAATTTCATTTTAATCCACAATAATTTGAAATAATTCAATTTTGTGTCGGGCTGGCCTCTACTAGGCCCCCGTAACAAAACTGGCTACGCCAATGTCGATATCTTCTTCTGGAAGATGCTACGACGAGATTCAATTTTGTCGGAGGATCTATGGTCGTTACCGAGTTACTCAAAGAAATGACACGTCATCTTTGTATATAAGTTGTAAAGTGTATGACTATATATAGCTTTCGTTATTATTATTATCATTGTACGTGAGCAACTTTCAAACAGCTTCGTCTCCAAAACTACCGAGGATAATACGGTGATTTTCGCTTACATTTGTCTCCCCACTTATTTCCCTCTCCCGACTCACCTCGGTATAGAGGAGGGAATTACTGAAAATTTATCGGCATTCGAGACACAAGTTTAAGTAGGAGTGTCTAATAATATCGATAAAAATGTGGATTGATGTACCGTACACAAAACGAGAGAAAAATAAAGGTGAGGCATACGTACGCGTGTTTGATACTTTCCAGAAAGATAGTGACGGCAAATTAACACGATAATCGCGTAAAGAATTTTCCATAAATTTTTAAAGATATTTTAATGTTTAGATGAAGAAAAAGCCATCGGAAAACTCTTAATTATAATTTAAAACTGACAGATAACTCGTAGTGACACATAAGCCGCAGCCCAGCCCCGTTGCACAAAAATTACAAGCTACAAGACTTATAATACTCGTAACTTGTAGCCAGTAATTACAACTTTTACTGATTATAAATAACTTTACCCGATCAAAATTACTTAGGACTAGTAGCTTGTAACTTGTTACAAAACTGTTTATTCAACTCATTTTGCTCGTAACGAGTACAAGCAGTTTATGCAACAAAATCTTGGTTTCAAATTGACTTCAAAAAACAGAAAATCCACGCGTTATTTGTAGGAATTAAAGTATTATCGTAATTATTTCGGGTTATGTTTTGAATAACTATTACACCAATCAAAACATAGTAATTTGATCAGTTAAGTTGCCGGCTTGCGCCGATTTTAATAGTTACATTACATTAAATTGAATTTAAAAATTAATTAGCCAAAAATTATAAAATAAAATACAATTTGAAAGGAAGAGAATATTACCTGAAAGACAATGACAAGAACTGAAATAAAACTGACGAAAATGATTTTCTTGACAATAGCCGTGTTCTCCACACGGTGTTCCTTCAAAAACGCAAGGCTGAAGATGTATACGTAAATCTACCATAACTCTTTCCACTTCGCACGGTTCCGAAACTGTTGCACTAAACACGAAAAATACCAGGGAATCGATAAATATATATTTTTACAACATACAATTTTTTCAACCATTAATAGTTTTTTTAAACCGCCTGGAAACAAATAATATAAGAAAAATACTAAGCCTAATGCGCATTTCTCGTCTCCAAAGTCTCATAATTTTTAAAATTACGTCGAATATATTAATTTTCTTGTCGAACTCATATAATTTTTGAGATGGAACAAACACAATTTTTTTAAATCATTGATCTTTAATAGTTAAGTTATAAATTTATAGAACAATATCGGTTATATATACAATTAATCTTAACAGATTTCATTCTTAAGTCTGCCAAAACATTATGTATAATCGAGTGTGGGTTACTAATTCGTAATTTGAAACAGATCTCTATATTCATCTATTAAGTTCAATGACATTAGAATAGCCACTACTGGGCCCGGTATCTTCAGTTTAATACACAGACACACATTTTTTCCTCGATAAAAGGGTTTTAGATATTCTATATAATATATAGCTAATATAACTAAAATATCATAAATTTGAGAATTTTCTATTTACAGAGATCAAAAAGTTATTCGAAAACATCAAACTAAGAATAAGGACGTTGAATAAATATAATGTTTGATGCGTGTTTGACATACATAAAAGGCAAATTTATCACTGTAATTTATTAGCATCTTTTGAGTAAGAATATTTGAACAAAGAATAAAATATTCAGTTTGTAAGTTGATTCAATGATAGAATACTTTTGTCTTTATTAACTGTTTAAGCTACTACATAATTCATTTCTACTTTTAATATTAATATAGCCTATATATACATTTATAACAGATACGTTTTGAGCCACGCGTTGCTGCGGCTCAAAATGTATCTATTATAAATGTATAACACTCCATGCGGAAGGGAATTTCGAAAATTCTCTTCTTAGTGTATATTCTTTCGACGTACCCTATTAAAACGCGATCAAAAACGCAAAAAACCGCGTCTAAAATATAATAATAGAAGACCGGTTCTTCACGGTAAGCCTTAATTTTGTCCCTCTCCCCCGCGGGGGGATTTCGACATCTATATAATACAAAAACACGCGCGTATTCGAATACAACGTTGTGTCAAAATTTCAAAGCGATCGGTTAAGAACTTTCGGAAATTTAAGATTTTAACCAAAACGAACATTTACGTTTTTATTTATATAGACTGAGGCTGTGCCATATATGGATATATTGACACTGCCCTGAAACTTTGAAACAACTTTGTTGGGGCTCAAGGCCGTTCATATAGGCGAACTAGGCGTTTGAATTCGGGGGAGCTCCGTGGCGAAACTACATGCATAAATTACAATAAATAATGAAAAAAATTAATGTTTTTTGATCACAATCCTTTCTCCCCTGTTGACCCGAGAGTCGCCATTTTGAAAGTAGCGCCGTAGTCTCACCATCGCGATATTGCGTGCTGCATATTGAATAAAAACAAATAGATACTCTATTTTACATTGGTGTTTTATATTGTTGCCAATTTTTTTTATAGGATGACGTCAAAGTCATTTGCCTAGGGCGCTGATTTTGCTCGGTCAGGCAGTGGATATGGGCATACTGTTACCAACCCACAGGATGTACTGTATTATGCATATTGGAAGATCTTAGTGTCTCAGAGAGTACCTATCACATAGTGTCTGATTTTGAGTTCACGTTCCCTACTATCTGCACTGAAGAGTCTCTCTTGTCTCTAACATTGAGTATTCTGATAGGAATATAATCTCCATTTTAGAACTGACGTATCTAATGTGCCATTCCTCATTCTTCACCTTTGAGGGTGCTACACACATCCCAGGATGAGAAGTACCTATGGGGAGCCCTGTTCTATTAGAATCACTTTGCAAATTACAGCAGACAATCCTACCTGCACTTATTTGTATGCTCAATCACATTATCTATTCACAAATAAGTGGCTACATTTAGCCACTTATTTGTGAATAGATAATGTGATTGAGAATACATAGATAATGTGATTGAGCATACATAGATAATGTGTTAGCTTTAGTTAAAAGAGTCTACACACATTGTTCACCTACAGTACAAGAGATAGGTAGGAGGAGTTAAGTTTCGTTACAAAGTTAACCCAACGGTATGGCTACTCTACGAATCTCATTAATTAAGGCACTGCCGTATGCTAGAATCTCCAGAGCGAACACATCAAAACTTGTTGATAAATCATATGTTGTAATCATACATGACAAGGTACTATATTCCATCTATTACAAAATAATCAGGTGTGATAAACTCAAAATTGCAAGATTGCTTTTGAAAGAAGCCCTATTATCTTCTGAATGCTTACAAATGAAAAAGACCAGACAGAGAGAAAACACTTACCAGGTGTTTATACTATTCCAATTTGGAACCAAAGGCTGCATGTTTCTACGACTACGTACGTGCTAACGCTAGAAGCTTCCATACAAGAATTAAGAAGCCCCAGTACAGCCTAAAAAAAAAACACTTCTCCAACACATCATGCACCATCTTTGTATTAGATAAAGACAAACAAGTCACACCTCCTATACCAGAGATGGCAAACCTTTTAGAGTCTGCACGCCATATAGTAAGCACACTTATCTTTGTTTATCCGTGCCTAAGTTCTAGACTTTGAATAACTGTCTTAATAAATAAAATGAGTACACTTTAATTAGAATAAATGCAAAAAAGCTGATTGAAAAAAGGATGATCAAGTGATAAATTGAAATGGTGATTGAAAAAGACAAGTGATAAACTGAAATTGTATGATACTTTACCTGCCAGATGATTTCTCTGATGTGCCTTAGGTTCGCCACCCTGTCCTACACCAATGCGATGGACATACCTTTTCTGAAACCCTTAAAAAAAGAGTTAAAATCTACAAAACGTTCAAGAGATGACATTGATTAACTTTAAAAAAACTGACTCAATTTTGTCTGCTTTGAGAGCACTATTTGAGTGCGTCTAATTCCCTTCAGTGGTATTATTGTATCAGATATGCATAACTCTCCCAATGCTGGAACTTTGATTTAAAACAGTCTGTTCAAAAGAATTTCTTTTAATTTTCTTATTCCATTCTGTATTCTTTCTGTTAAACCTGACAATAGGAAACCTTGTCTGTTGTATATAAAGGAAAACATTACTTGACATCAGCATCATCATCAATTTTTATTAAGGCATACATGAAGGCATACATGCCTAGTACTAGGCATGTATGCCTTCATGTATGCACTACTAGGCACAACTAGGCATTAGTATATTAAATACAATTTATATTATAAAGTTTTTTAAAAACTTTGTAATATTAATTTTAAAAATAAAAAAAAAATTTTAAAAAGTTTTTTTTAATGCTAGTAAGTGGGCATAAGTTGTAATAAGAATAAGACATTCAATTTTATAAGATGTACTGTCCAACAATCCCCATGGGATTAAGTTGCATTTAAAATCATAAATACTGAATACAGCAGTGTACCCAGGATCTGAACTAGAGGGGGACAACTCTTAGTTTCTTTGAATGCAAAAATAGCAGCAAACAGCAAAATAGTTCTAAGATTTCATGACAGATGGCTCTGGGCTCTAGTCTAGTCACAATATTCATTATATTACTGATACTAAATTGATATGTCTGTGCTGTGTGTCTGTGTATCAATTAAAGGGTGTACACAGAAAAAAAAATTAAAGGGCCTAGAAGAAAAATTCAAGGGCATACACAGGGAGGGGCAGCTGCCCCTCCCTGTGTATGCCCTTGAATATGAAAATTATATGACACTGAAAAGGGGTTGAGAATTTATGTCAACCCAAAATGCATATAAAGAAAAAAAATTGAGTAATAAACTGTGCATGGTTAAAACATTGAATACTTGTTTGCTGTAGGAAATACTATACCTGACATAAAGGTTTATAGAGTTAAACTAATAAGAATACAGCTACCCTATTAGGAATCAATATTACTTTTTAAAATTAATTTGCACTATCAACAAATGAAGTAAATGTCTGTAATAATTAAACAAATTGTAATATATGAACATTAAACAAACTAAAAAAAATACGCAATGCGATTACAATTTATAACGTCTAATTTTAAGTGATTTTAAAATACCATCTTACAATGCAACAGAATAATAAGTCTTATGTGTAATAAGACTTACTTATTAAATCTAAAATTGTAAAAAACTGTAAAAATTAAAATTAGCTCATTTGATATGGTTGTGAAAAGTTTAAAGGACAGCTTAAGAACTAAGTCTATAAATAGAATAATAAAAAATAAATTTATGAATAGCACTTGTGTATTCTTTATATTTCTACTCATATTATACACACCCAACATATTGTCAACATTTCACTGTAATACTTTTAATATTCTTATCATCCTCAGTGTATCTTTATTTAAATTGTAAGAAAAAACAACACAATTTTTAAAAAATTGGAACCACCACATGCCTTTAAGTACAAAATACCTAGTGTTTATCAAGCTTTACCTTCTGGTAGACTTCTTTAATAAAAAAAAAACTTCAGACAGACTTCCTAGAGTGGAATCTAATTTAAATGATTTTATGTTTTTAATTTAAACTTTAATATATGTTTTAATAAAAGGTAAATACAGGGTTTTCCATTAAGGGTGCTCGAACTTCAAATTTAAATAAAACAAGTTGTGTTTGAGATATTATTAATTTTATTTTTTTACTCGAAAGAGTATTCCATTACATTACGTACGGAATATAATATCGGCCAAATGGCCGCCGCGGCTTCGTTGGGTGGCACATATCCGAGAGATCCAATTTTTGATGACTCTACCGCATAAATTGGGCTCAATGTCATTGATGAGATTGGTTATGTTGACTTTTAACACAGCAATCATCTGAGGCTTATTCTCATAGACCCATGATTTAACATAGCCCTACAAGAAAAAGTCTAATGGTGTTAAATCACATGATCTTGGTGGCTGGTTGACATTGCCGAAACATGAGATAACCATGCCGTCGAATTTGTTGTGCAGAAG